CTACCCGTGTGCAATTTTTTTATGCATAACTGCTTTGACTGGATTTTAGTACTACAGCGGACCCTTGACTTACAGACGGCTTGACTTACAGACTTTTTGAGTTACAGACTTCTCTGGCCGCAAAATTTAGGTTTGACTTGCAGACTGAGATTTGACTTACAGACCAGAAAAAAACCAAAATGGAACAAAAACGGCCTGTTACGGGATTAATCGGTTTTCAATGCACTGTAGATCAATGGAGACTTGATTTACAGACTTTTTGACTTGAGAACCGCCTTCCAATACGGATTAAGTTCTCAAGTCAAGACCCCACTGTTACAGTGGTGTCTCGCTTGACGAGGATAATTCATTCCTTTCAAATTGCTGTTAAGCAAAATCCTTGTCAAGCGAAACGAAAAAGCCCATTGAAATGCATTGAAAACCGGTTCAATGCGTTCCAATGGGCGAAATGCCTCAGTGTCCAGTGAAGATCCTCCATAGGGCGGCCATTTTCCGGTGCTTGTAATGCGAGGAATCTGTCCTAAAGCACAGCGGAGAGCCATTTTGCACAGCGGGTGGACATTTTGAAACCCGACGATCAGCTGTTTTTGATTGTCATTAAGCGAAAAATCAGTTCCCGAAGCAGGGAACCGATCAACATTAAGAAAAAAAAAGCCAATTCAGCCTTCATTTAGCGAGTGCAATAATGATCACAAAAAAATATTTGTCAAGCGGTTTCCTTGTCAAGGGAGGCTTGTACTTGTGTTTTCCATTTCTGTGCTTTCCATTTCTCTGAGTGGCACTAGTTTTTTCTTAATTGTATACCTATTGTTCTTAGCTTTAATATTACTTTTTAATTATGTAACCTGCCTTTTTACTCTTTGTTCTTAGCTTTAAATATTGTCTTTTAATGATGTATACTCATTGCCTTCAACTTTAAATATTGTCTTTCACTGTTGTAAGCTGCCTTGGGTCCTTTTCAAGCAGAAAGGTAGGGTAAAAATATTTTAAATAAAATAAAATAAATAAAATAAAATCCCTCACGCATAATTCCATTTAAAAAAATATGGGGGAAGCCGTCCTACACATCAAGCCATGCCTATTATTACCTGAATTTTAGGGTGTCAAGCATAACATATATAAATGGGTTATCCATTCATTTTGTTATCTAAAGAGGTTTAACAATAGGCGTTGGCACCAACAAGCAATATGTTCCTTATTCCATCTTCCATGTTTTCTCCACTTTCTATTACTGATTTCATCCATCTTAGCTGCTAATTTTCCTCCTCTGACTCTCCACACCACCAGCACTGGCTTGCTCGATCTAAATTCCCTATATCAGACTTCCTCGTGCTTCCTATGCTTTTCAAAGCCATACAAACCACAAATGATGTCCCTGTGTCTACACTAAGCACTTGGCATCAACAAGCTTTCAATTTTAAAAAAATCCCCTAAACTGTTGCATTTTAGGGGACACCATATTTTTATATGATAGCGGTATGGTAGTGCAGAAGGCCATCTCGTCCTCTATTAGAGAAAGGGGCAACCCTCTTTTTGCAATAAGAAGGGATCCTATAGATCAGAGGTTGTCAACCCCAGTCTGTGGCCCGATGCCGGTCCATGGCCTGAGCCAATGTGAGCGTTCCCCCACCACTTTGCGCATGCGCCTGAGAGAGTGCGCGCATGCACCCAAGAGCGCGGGTGCAGGGGTGCCCCGCCTTTCTCAGAGGCTCAGCCAGTTCGCGGTCCCAAAAAGGTTGGGGACCGCTACTATAGATCACTGAATCCAGCCCCTGTCAAGGAGGCACAGTGAGAAATTGAACTCCCAACCTCTGGCTCCTCCACCAGATACCTAAAACACTTAAGTGTTCAGCAGCTCTAACTATGGAACGAAGCACTCTACACCCCCCGTAGCATGGGCATGAAATGTTCTTTGACTCTCACAACAGTTAGGCTTCCTTTTAAACAAACAATATTTCCATTAATTCATGCTAATTACTGACTTTTTAAAATCCTTTCAAAAACAGAACATGAGTTTCATACTCTCCCAACACTTCACATAGAAAACCAGGACATTTCTGTGAACTCCCTTCTTTCGTCCTCTTTCAGGCCTGTGACCGTAACTTCCATAAACCAAACATCGAAGTTTCACTGAGAAACATAGCAAGGGCAGCAGCTGAAAGGCCCAGGAATTTTATTCCTTGAATGGGTGTGCTGGCAGGCAGTACTAGTTTTTACTGCAAATTATGACAATTACTTGTGTGCCCAGCAACTTGTCTGTACAACAACAAGTTCAGGATGGAAAAGACTGAGGAGAAATCTGTCAATATTGGGAGCAAGTAAACAATCAGTTGGGGATACCTCATTCATTACTATGACAAACAAATGAGCATTTTACATTTCTTGGCTCTCTCAGAAAGAAGCTGGTGGTGCCCCAAATTTGCATAAATTCACATAACAGTTTGCATTTCACCCAGAAACATCCTGACACAATTATACAACAATTGTAACACTCTGATGCCAAAAAAGGGAGCAAAAGAGACAGGTGTAAGAAATTCCTGCAGGAATCACAGAGCACGCCTAAGCACTTGGCATCAACAAGCTTTCAATTTAAAAAAATGCCCTAAACTGTTGCATTTTATACACACCATATTTTTATATGATAGCGGTAGTGCAGAAGGCCATCTTGACCTCTATTAGAGAAAGGGGCAACCCTCCTTTTGCAATAAAAAGCAAAGCTGCTTATAAACCACCCATTGCAACTTCAAGCCCTTCTTGGC